CTCAGTTCCTTGATGATGCACCCACTACAGACTTCAGTATAAATATGTGCTCAGATATGATTCTATATTAATTGACCCATGATATGAGGGAAAAGTATGAGGTAGAAGGTCAGGCAGTACAGCCCTCTTACAGGATGATGACTTCTAAATAACCTTTCTCCTAATGTAAATGAATAAATAAGAAAACTAGGCAAAGTATTCAAAGTCTTCCAATCTACAAGGTCAAAGCCTCTTCCCAAAGATAACAAATGTCTCAAGTTGGAGATCCTACCATTTATGCAAGGAAAATATTTGCATTGTTGCAAAATACAATAATGGGATTTTTACTCTCCAATCCATGGGGGATTTCCTAAGGACAAGAGAAAGCTGACTGTGACTTTTATAAATAGCTTTTGCTTCAAAATTCAGATAGAAAGAAGGTCATTGAGAGCAAGATTGCAATATTTGATACCATCGCCACACGTCCTTGGGAAACATGGAATTTGACTGGTGTGCCATCTTGTTTGGGTGTCTTATTACACTTCCATTTTCACTGGGGAGCTCCTGAAACTGTGCCTTCTGTGTCTAGGAAGTTATAATACTATTTCAAATCTTGTACTACAGGGCCTCCCTGGTGGCACAAGGGGTTAAGCACAGGACTGTGACGTTACCCACAGTCACTGCAGCACGAATTTGATCCCCAGCCAGGGAGCTACCCACATGGTGCAGCAGACCTCTCCTGACTCACCCCGCTGCTCCCCTTAGCAGTGTTTTTCAGTTGATCTGCCTGTTCTATTCCCCACTCTGTCCTCTGTCTCTGGTGAATCCATTCACCCCCCATACCTCAGGCCTGTACCCCAATTCTTGTATGCATAATCTTTTTTAAAAAATTTTGTACTATAGTCAGAATCAGTTTTTCCAAAATAAATGTTCCCACATATCCCTATATCCCTATTCCTATATTATTATATGCTGTTTATTACCCATGTATAAAACTATGTGTTTTGTGATTTTTTTTTCATGAGCATCTCTCCCTAAAATCAGAGGGGCAGGTTTGACCACTCTTTAGCCAGAGAGGGATCATGTTAATAAAAACAAGATTCAGTCAAGGCAATAAAATTGCATCTCACTTCTTTGTAGGTCAGAAACAGCTGTACTAGTGTGTGAGCCAGCAAAAGTTTGGGTGGGTCAGCTTGCAAAAATTCTGTTCTCATTACCCTCAGTTATCATGGCTGTCACCTGTTTTGAATTTCTTACTCTTATTCCTTGACTAATTTTCCATTATAGAATTTATTTGTTTGCATGTAGCACATCAATGATATGTAAAGGGTATCTAAATATTCTCTTTATAGTTATCCATTCTATTCTTTTTGTGTTAAATTACCATATTATTCCCATGTAAAAACCCATAACAATTATATGAAAACCAGAATAATAAGTGAAATGTTGCAATCTCTAGACAAATAATACTCTAATAATGATTTGATAAAATAATTGTCCTTCACTCAAGCTTATAGAAGATTTTCCCTAAAACTGAAAAAAAAGTCTTCAATTTGTTCAATTATATTTCTTTTTCTTTCTGCCAGCATTCAAGTATGTCATAAAATTGAACTGGAAAATATCTTTCTTTGAATAAATAGCTTTGTAGAAAAAAATGCTTTAAAATTATAATTTGGATTATTTGTTCTTAGGAAATTGAAATCCCACCATTTCAAAAACTATTGTATTTAAACCTGAGAAATAGCTGAAACCAAAATGTTATTTTACAGTGTTTATTAAAAGTATACAGAAGTTGGTATAAAAACCAAAATCAGTTATTTAAGAAAATAGACCAGAAGCAAACACAGGAAAAGTTGAACTGAATGATAAAATATTAAATATATCAGATCCAGAAATTAATCATGACATTAGTCTAAGATGGATACATGACAACCAATTGCATGGACATATCCCTAATGCTTCTTTATTCTTCAACTTAATAGAAAATTATCCTGATTTTGTTGCTCAAAGGATATTTATGGATTTAAACTTAGTTACCCTGCTGTTTCCCAGAGGGATATACTCTTAAACATATTGGAACATTAATATTGTTATCACTAAAACTACTTAGTGCTTCCTGAGACCTTGATCCCTGCAAGTGGTGAGCTGACTTAGCAAAGTCATTAGCTCACCAACCAACCGTTTTTATTTCACAAGACCCATGAATTAGCAAAATGCCTTCAGGGGTTTCCACATTGTGTGAAAGAGAACACAGCTTTTTCTGGAACATCTGAATCACTAAGTACAACTAAAAGTATTAAGTCAGAAGAAAATAAATTCTTGAACCTTCCTTGCCTCTGTAGCTGCTGAGATAGATGGCCTATTGTAGATATGAGAGACACTAATCAGCCAGACCAGCACAGCTCCTAAGACCGGCATAAGCCTCTTCTGTGTTGACTCATTCCCAATTCAATTGCTAGGTTCAAAACTCTGGATTAAGTTCAGTGCAAATATATAGAAGAACAAACTCTAGATCCTGCCTTGAAGGACCTCATAGTCTATGAAAAGAGGTAATAATTCTATACAAAGAGTTGGGTAAATTGTGAACACTAAAGTCACCCATTTGAGCTTTCCTCAGTTGACATGGGTCAAATCTGGGTCTTGCATCTCCTAACCCCTGCCACACAGCATCCTTCCTAACTTCTTCTCCATATTCTCTTCTCTATCCCTTGTTTGAGGTGAAAACCTAATATAGTTTACCCATGTTTAGGGTCAAAATCTAATATGGTTTCCCCCTAAATCACTGATGGTTCCCTCATCTCATTGCTTCTGCAAAATGACATTTCTAAAACACATATCTAATCATATTTCTTGTCAGCACCCTATAAACTGAGCCCCAAATGCTTTTGTAGACCAGTCTTCTGCCCCGCTACTTTCTCACTGTGTTTCCCTATTTACTACCACTTCCCTCTGCACAAATTCCAGTCATTCTGAATTACTCAGTTGTCCTTTGTTCATGTGCATACATCTGAAATGCCCTGTGCTCCCCATTGTACTCTGCATGCTCCAGGTGAACTCTTATTCTTCTTTCCTTCTCAGTCCATCCAAGCACTTTTGCTCTGTGCTTTATTTCATAATGATGCAGATTATAAAATATAGTCATGTGTTCATATAATACCATCTATTGCTCTATACTTTCAGAACTTTTAACCTAATGTTGTAGTTGATCTCATGTCTGTTTCCCACTAGATTGCTTACATCTTCAGGGTAGGAATATTAGGAACAGTATAAGTTTTATTGTCTCTTTTCCCCAGCTCTTAGTGTAATACTGGAGGTTTGGTGCAGTCTCAATAAATATTGAATGAAATATTCATTTATAAAATAATAACCAAAAATAGCACATGGAAAATGCTATAATAGTTGCAGTGTACATCAAGCTGAGAAAATCAGGAAAGGTTTCATGGTATAAGTTGTACTTGAGTGAAACACAAAAACAATGCACAGAATTTGAAAAAAAGAAAATGGAAGTGAGAAAAGTTTGGGGAAATGTGTGATCAATACCAAGAAGTTGAAAAAAAATTTCCTGTAGATGAGAAACTGGCCTAAATAGAGAATAAGCTGCGAGGAGAAAGCATACATTGTACAAAAAATGAAGAATGATACAAAAAATATATAAAATAATTTTAAAAATTCAAAAAATAGAGAGTAAATGAAAAAATACTGTAGTAAATAAATAAGGTAGAAAACTCTCCTTGCTTTTATTTAAATAAAATCAAACTTTAGATTCAGACAACAGAATAGTGGTAACCTGGGAGAACATGGGTTAGGAAGGATAAAATGCACAAAGGAGCTCAGTTATACAAATTTGAATGAAGACTAGATTTTTGGTGGTAGTACAAAATGTAGTGCATACAGAGGTAGAATTAAAAAATTCAGCTATACACTTGAATTTAAAAAAAAAAAGAAAAACAAAAGTTAGCTGGAAGAATTAGTTGTTAGAAGTCATAAATATCTGGTTAAAGACTAAGTTCACATATTTTCTCTAAGGGATAAAACATGGTTATATTGAAGTGTCCTTGTCTTTTCATACACACACCTGTAAGCACCTAAACTCTGTCAGCACAAGTAATTTTATTTTATTTTTTTAATATTTTAGTTTTTCTACTTTTTTTTTTAAGATTTATTTTTATTTAATTATACAAGCACTGGGTACAGTCAGAAGTGCGGGAGGGTGAGAGAATCCACCAGAGCCAAAGTGGGGAACAGAGCAGGCAGAAGGACCAAAGTACACTGCTGAGGGGAGCAGCGGGCGGCAGGAGAGGTCTGTGTGCCATGTGGGACCCTCCTCCAGTGGCCGGGGAGCAGCCGGGGATTGAACCGGTGCTGTAGATGCTGCGGGCAGCCTTGCAACCCAGCGCTCAACCCCTGCACCACTGGGAAGGCCCAGCACAAGTAATTTTAATAAGTTAAACAGTAAGTAAGTTAGGGAAGGTATTATGAGAGTTCGCATACAATTGTTTTTTCTCTAGAAAGTATGGTTACATTAAAAAATAGATGAAACTGCTATAGTTATAACTATAGACATAGATATAGATGTGGATGTAGACATAGATACAGAGATTAACATGATATTCTGGCACATGTAAGGCCAAGAAATGAAATGTTGACATAGTGTGGAAGAAGGGTTTGGGCAAACTAAACTTGGAAAATTGCAATTCAGTCTATAAAATACAAGGAGGAACAATTTACATAATTTAGTCAAAGAATCTGCTTTTATCTATTATCTCGTCCTATTAATTTGCTTTCTTTATACCAACCAGGCAAGTTTACTGAAGGCAGGACCATTTGCTATTTATTTTGAAGCCCTCCCCCAACAGAATGTAGGGTCTATTTTAGCTGATCAACAAAATTGAATTGATCTGACCACAGATGAATAGTTAATGCAACCTCTTGCATGCACTGGCTGCTCTCTCTCTATGGCATTTGACTTTTGTTTGAAATGTGCGTCCCCTGAACCACGGCAAAGGCGTTGTTACACTTACCTGTCTGGGGTCTATTTTATGAACGCTGGCCACAAATCACACCCATGCACTGTGCTGTTGAAAGCACTGAGACTATAGGGCTCAGCTCCCATGTTCTTTTATAGTTCAGTGGCCCCTGCTGTTTAATCATACTGCATATACTGCACACAAAAAAATATGTACCAGTTTGAGGAAGCACTGTCTTATTGTAACAGTAAATATACTGTCTTATGCTAAAGTTACTGAGACTATCCTGTTGGCCAACAAATTATTCTTAACAAAAATAGTAACAATTGTGCATCCATCTACAGTTCAAAAAAAAAACTGTATTTATCTTTCCAATAGTAAAATGTAACAAGGGAATTAAGACACTGAATCTTTTATGCTCTCTTTATTCTGTTTTCTCTTTGTGGAAAGCAAGCTGCGCTGTATAAAGTATCACCTCGAGAAAAAAAGAATGCCAGAAATATGTGTGGTTACCACTTAACAAAGTCCTATTAGCTACTTCGATGAGAGTTTGCTCCCTTCTCTCCAAATGGTTTTTTATCATGATTTAGATGTGCAGGGAAATTGCGTGCTGGTATTCGCCAACCTTGAATACTGCACGTTCTGTCCAGAACAGCTATTATAAGGCTTTCTAAAAATCTTTGTAATTTCTAGGGAGATCTGGAAACCGTCTTTTAAAGTATTTTGGCTTTCTCCCTCTCTTTCCTCAGCAAATTCTAAAGTAATTGGACTGTATTTAGCCAATAATGATCTAGTTTGAATTTTTAAAATATCAAAGTTGGTAGGGAATTGCCTTTCAGCAATGTGGGGCTTTGAAAGAGACCTCGTGAATTACTACTGCTCTTGTCTGTCTATACATGACAGGTCTACTATTCCTCTGCTTAATTCAGGCAAAGGAACCGTTGGATCTAAATGTCTGACTGAGTGACCAGTGGTTTGACTGAGTTCCCAGCCATTGGGACTGCGCTGGCCGTGCGTGTCCACCCAGGCTTTGTTTGCATGCTGGCAGTTTCTGCAGAGAACACACAGCATATGCCAGGTGGCCATGTGTCTCCAGCAGAGGGAAGGCAGAACAAAGCAAAAAAAGCTTCCATTTGGACAGAGATACTTTAAGCCCTCTGACTGCCAGTAATATATTAAAGTGAGAAGAAAATGCAATGATGCCTGAATATATTCAATAGTGAACAACTTCGAGGCTGAGATTCAGATCACAAATCTTCCTCTGCTGCTGCTGACAAGCTCAGCTTGAGCGTGGCTGCAGGAGACAAAGAAACCTGCTCTAAGAGGAAAATAGGAGAGGAGATTTTCACCGATTTTAATTGATCTCAGATGCGTGTTTTAGGAACCTATTACATCATAACTGTTGTATTCTTATGTCCTAAGTCTGTTCTCTTGAAGGTGAGCGTAGGGCAAACTGGTTAGCGATGGTGAATATAAGAACTTGCTCTCCTGCCCAACTCTTTGCTCTTTATTGATAAATCCTTTTGGCACTTACTATAATGCTCATCACCATCTTCCCCTCAACACTGAAATAGAGTGGGCAATAGATGCTAATGCCATCCCAGAAGTGTTGGGGACTACAAACTAGTATTTTAGACAGGAGATAGAATGGTGTGCATTACTTAGGAAGAGGAATGGATGACTTCTCATATCAATGTAATGTTGCCCTCACCCCATGCCTCATGCTTTAGGATAAATAAAAATGTTTCTCTGCATCATTTTCCCATTACTCATTTATTGAGCAGCTGTTATAGGCTAGGGAGTATGCAGGAAGACTCACCTTCGATATTTTTATTTTCCCAACAGTGTTACTAAGCCCCATTGTATTCATCTTACAGATAAGAATACTGACCTTCAGAGTAGTTAACTTGCCCAGGCTCTCTCAGCTAATTGATACAAGAGGGAGTTAGATGCAGGTTATCTGATTCCAAAGCCTGTGCTAATCACACTACACCAAGCTACAACTTAATTCATAAATTAGTCAGTTTGCAAGGATCTCTCGGGTGCCCTGTACTTCTACAAGCTGTGTCATTTAATCAACACAAAATGAGTCCTCTAATGGAGTACTACCCTAAAAATTCCATGTCCTAGAACACTAAGACTCTTGGCAGCCAGCTGCTCCAACACTGGATCAAAATTCAAACATGGGTCTACCTCACTGTATATCTCAATGGCATTCTAGAAGTTCCATTGATCTGAACTCAAGAGAGTTTAAAGTATTAAGTCTCACTCTTAATGAAAGTGTAATGGCTTATAGTTGCCTGTTGATTTTGATTTTTACTTTATTATAATTACTTTATTATAATTAGTTTTTTCCTGATCCCTTGTTTGGATCAGAGACATTCTGCAGGGCAGGAGAAGGGAGTAGGATCAAAACAAGGGACCATGGGGATAGTTCAGGGGTGAATGGATGATGAGAATTCCACAGAGACAATAGCCAAGATTAAAATACATACATTGTACACAAATGAAAAATGATGTAAAAAATATATAAATTTAAAAAAAAGTACATGTCATTTCAAAAATTAACAAAACCGATGCCATTTGAATGGACTTTATAATCCTAGGACTTCATGCAGCTGCACTATTTGTTCTGTTAGGAAGGCATTTCTTTCTATTCTATCAGACAATTTACTTCCATTTGATTCTTCATAACATGTTCTGACATATGTTTTTGGACACACACTTTAATTCTCTAAGACTGAACTAGTTGTTCCCTCCTTGATGCTCCAACAGTTCTGTACTTACATCTGTATAAACCATGCTGCCAGATTGTGCTGGGTTGTTATTTGTTTCCCTGTATGACTCCTCCAGGCAACTTGTGATCTCCTGGAAGACACATTTCGTATCTTATTGACCTTTGACTGGCAGTTCTCAGGGTAGTGTCTTATCACAGTAGGTATTCAAATCATGTTCTATGAGAGAATGCAATTAAGCGACATAAGAATAAGAAGCCATCAGAGAAAATAAAGGTGGGCATGTGTTTGTGTGTTTAAAAGGCATTGTGGAAAAGGGAGAAATGCCATTTATATGGAAGGGACAAAATTAGATTACCTCTTATCTGGCTTTTTAAAGGGATTTTGTTGAGCTAAAAAACCTGTATTTGTAGAAAAGCCTTACCTGAGCTGCCAATATCATGTAAGATTATTAAAAGAAGAATTTTAAAGATCTAATTTACTTTTTGTCATGCACGGCTTGCTATTTGCATTCCACTCTGGTTGAACATTGAAATGAGACAAGCCTTTATCACCTTTGTGTCTGGTCACGTCTGCTTCCTGGTCTCCCTTGCTGCACAGCGCTGCAGTTCCAGGCTGTAAACACAGCAGCAAAATGGTTCAGGAAAAGAAAAAGAATGCTTTGGCTCATAATTGGATGAAAATACATTTAATGAAAACATTTCTATCAGTAGCAGGCTTTTTATAAATTCTTCTTTTCCTTACAATTAAATTTTCTGAAATGCAGACATTGGGCGTTAAGCGTCTCATGGAGGTAATGTTGGCATCGGATCAGTTCAACTGGCTTGCCAGGGCTTAAAGGGAAAACAGAATGCGAAACGCTGTAATTGTATAGTTCTTGTAGAAGTGAGGAAATCGCAACCTGCACAAAAACCTCAAGGAATATGTGCCTAAATCTGCCCATGGAGAGAAAGAGATGTATGTTTTCTGTTTGGAAGATGATCCTAGAAACCTATTTGGGGTTTATTTTAGTTTACAGATCCATCTCAGCAAACAGATGCGCCGAACATGAACTTTATGTTCACTGGCTCAGGAAATGGAGCTGAGAATTTAAGTCATTTCCATTTTTATTATGTAGTATGACTGGTGCTTCTTTGTTCCTTCCTAATCAACTTCAGTCCCCCTGAAAATACCCTAACTGATAGCTTCTAACAGGGTTAGATTGTGTGAGCTGAATGTAGACTTGTTTATGACTGCCTTATCCACATATGCACCTGACATGCTTTCTCTCGGTGGAACAACAAATTGGATTTTTCAAGAGCAGAGGGAGGTGCACACTCCTTCTAATAAAGTTAATATGATACCACTTGTGTATGGTAGAGTCTTTGGAAATGAATTAAAATATATTCTTGAGGCATTAAGCATAGGAAACTCAGAATCTACAAACTCGTTAAAGAATAAATTGTACCAGACTCCCAAGTGGTGGTCAAGACCCCTGTCTGGGCAGGTGCCCCGGCTCTTCATCCATTGCCCACAAGAGTGGTGTTCCTCCCCTCTTTGATGTCTCTGTGTTTGTGCTGATTAATTATATGCATCCACTTGACTGGCTAAGGGATGTCCAGATAGCTGGTAAAACATTTCTGGGTGTGTTTATGAGAGTGTTTCCAGAAAAATTAGCATTTGAATCAGTAGACTGAGTAAAGAATACAGGTGTTCCAGGATGCAGGTAGACATTGTTTCTAGTCCCTCGGGGGCCCAAATAAAACAATAGGGCTTAGGCATAACAAATCTGCTTTCTCCTTCAGCCCACACACCACCACTCCAGAGTTTTGGGCTTTTGCACTCAGATTAGAACTTACACTCCCACACCCAAACCCCAATCTCAGACTTTTGAACTCAAAATTAAACTACCAGGTTTACTTTCCTGGGACTTCAGCTTGCAGATGTCAGATTGTGGAAACTTCTGGGCCTCTTTATAATAAACATCTGTCTGTCTGTCTGTCTGTCTGTCTCGACAGCTCTTTTAATTTCCTTACAAAATATAGATTTTACTTGCTTTATGTTTTCTCAGTCTTTGCCATAGATGTCAAATGTTGAATGAAAGATAGATAAACTGGCTCACAATGGCTTCCTTCACATGTCATTTAATCAATCCAAAACTATCTGGTGTGTTATTTTATTCAAGTGACCATTTACATAGCATATAGGGTTGCTTTATTTTATAGAGTACTACTGGTAATTCTGTCTGGAGAACTTTAATAATATGCTCCTAGAAATGATTGCTACAAATTGCAAACCTCAGTAAGACTTGGCCAATGAGAACATCAATAAGAGAATGAGAGGAGAGAAAATTCTGCATTTACTCTCCCTTACCTCCCTGCTTTTATCAGAGTCCTCCCTCTATGGTCTTTACTCCACAGTCTACCATCACTATATGTCTTTCCCGTGTCCATTTAGTCCTTGAAGTAGCCAAGCCTCCCTAATTTTGCTACTGCTTTGCTGTCTCACCAATGTGTGTTTGTTCTCTCATCCTGTGTACAATTCTATAGGTTATTCTTTGTTTCAAAACTTTTCATGTAAACTATCTGAGAAAAATTTGGTGTCTTGCTAGGACTCTATAAAACAAAGCAACCCTATATGCTAAGTAATGGTCACTTGAATAAAATAACACACCAGATAGTTATGGATTGATTAAATGACATGAGGAGGCCATTGTGAGCGAGTTTGTCTAACTTTTGTTCAGCATTTGACATCCATGGCAAAGGCTGAGAGAACATAAAGCAAGTAAAATCTATATTTTCTAAGGAAATTAAAAGAGCTGGCAAAAACCTTCCAGATTCTCTAAGGAATCTACTGTTGAGTGGAAATGATTTCTATCAATAGATATGTAAGAGCAGACTTGTATTCTCTTGTCTGGAACACAGCATCAAGTAAGGAGGAAGGGATAAGGAAGACCCACTAGAACATCATCCCCTTTCATTCCACATGACAAGGACAGGCTGGACGCCAGGACACCACAAAAGAGAAAGTTTTCTAAATACCGGATGGTCTCACTCATAGCAGGAATCTAGAAAACTTAAATAAGGGACCAGGAAAAAGAATAACTATAAGAAAGAAAATATCAAAATCAACAAACAACTATGAACCAGAGACACTCTATGGGGGGTGGGCAGTGGGGTAAGGAGGGATTGGGGTCAAAATAAGGGGGTTGTAATTGTATGGGGAATATAAAAATAAAATTTAAATTAAAAAAGGAGAAAGTTTTCTAGCACACCTTTGTGCCTAGAAAATAAGGAAATTCTCAAAAAATTATCTGAACACACTGGGAGGACAAAGAACTTAAATCAGACAAACCTGGCTATTTTGAGTCCCACATACACAATGATAAACTCACTGAATAAAATGAGAATCCTTGGGTTCAAATGGAAATAGAAAGGGTCCGGGGATAAGTAAAAGAGCAGGAGGCAGTTCTCCCTTACAGTAGGATAATAACGAACAAATATAGAATGATAGAGATAATAAACTCTAATAATCAATGGATGCTAAAATAATGGATAAAACCTGATGAAGAAGAGGTCATGTCAGAATCTAAAAAAAAAAAAAAAAAAAATCTCACCACCAACTCATTCCTAATTACTAAGGGAAAGATAACTTCAATCTGGCAAAACTTGGCAGATACCACCTTAGTCAAAGGATCTAAATTAATGGCTTAAATATGGGCAAAATACCATGATGTGCTTCCTGATATGATATACTAAGAACACAATATCATTTTTGTGATATTCTTGCCTCCATTATCTGTGATTTTGATGCAAAGAAATCATTTTTTTCATGGTGCTCACCTGACAGCAATTTCAACCTCGTGTTTTCTAACACACCTGCTGAGATGTTACAAGATGAAGCGGGTGGAAAGGAATTGTCAAAGATGGTTGGCATTCCAGAAGATGGATGGCATTCCTTTATTTGAAGGCACAACTGTAAAACTTAAGACTATGAGGAGATTATCACTAAAAGAGAGAGTTTAAAACATGACAATTGAAAGAGAGAACACAGATATGGAAGAGTAGGGGGACAGATCATAGTTCTTCTACTCTGAAACTTTTCTTTTTACTCTGGCTATTAATACTCCAGGGTTTGTGCTTAGGTATATTTATTGTATTTAGAATATGTTAGTCTATTAAACATTTCTTTCTCCTATTTTTCTTCTCTCAATCCTTCTGTCAGACACATTCCAGTACTCTATTGTATCAGATATTCAACATGTCAGTTTTTAACTTGATTGTGTTTTCTTTATTACTATTCAATTATCAGTGTCTCATTCATTCTAGATCCCAGGTTTTGGTGAAATCCAGTTTTAAATCAGTGTTGATATTGGTTGCTAAGAGATTTCTATTTAATGTGTTTCTCCTTTATTCACTGCAATTGTTTCAACATATTGCACATTTTTCCTCTAGTTCAGATATCCATTTTTGAATACATACAAGAACTTTGCTATTATAAATTCTGAAACATCTTAACTTTAATCCCAAACCCACCAGAAATACAATTTAAATAAACATTAACTAAATAATGAAACTAAGGCATTGTGCTCTCTTTCCACCTATGAATTTAGAATGAAAGGTACAATCACATATCAGAGGGCTTTGTTGGCAAATTCTGAAACATTTATAAAAGTATATCAGTGCACTTATTTTGGGAGTTACTGCTCTTGACACAACTGCTTAAAATGTTATGGGGAAGTTTTATAAACATGATTCTTAGTTGTAAAAAAAATGTATATTTGAACAATTTAAATGTATTTTTTTTTAAATACAAGCATGCCCTAATTTAGTAGAAGCCACAATCAAGGAAAATTTCAAATCAGAAAGCTTTGGAAGTGAAAAAGAACAAAGAAGCAGACACCTCGAGCTAGCCTATCATATTCTCATAAAGAGGTTATTTGTGATTCTTTATTCACCAGGGGCTTCTTTCCTAGTGGAGCTCACATGTCCATGTCCCATACAGGTTCTTGCCTACCCCTCTGCATATAACCTTAAGCCCTAACTGTTGCTCCCCAAGAATAATTCTTTCCTCTACTGAAAACCCTCTTTGATCAACCTTTCTCTGAAATGACCTGAACTTCACCTGATCCTCTCCTCCTGAAATGCTATGTGCATTATTAAATCTCTTCAAGTTAGAATTTTTCTTGAGAGGCTTCTTGTATCTAGCACTTGTGAAATTTCCTGTGCTAATGGTATTCTAGTTATTTTTCTACCACTAAATATACTATGCGTGTGTATGCCAAAAATAAAAATTTGTCATCATGCTTTAAAGTAAATGAGATGGATAACTTTCTTTTATCACTACAACAAAGGATAATTTTCTTTCCAGTGTAACAGAAGGGAACACAGGTTGAGGGAGGATAAGGTGAGCTATAGGCTGGGGGAGAAAAGGGTCTCCAAGCAGTTGTGGAAAATGGCAGTTCCAAAGTCTAAGACAGGAAATTAAGGAGTAGGACAAGACTTGAATAAAATATGAGTTTAGTTTGAATATCATGAGCTGAAACCCTCTGATATACTGAAGTTAGATGTAAGTGGTTTTATGTATAATCTTAGACTTACTGGTTACATCCCAGAGACAGAAGTCATTGAAAAGAT